GGAACTATATCTTTAACTGAGCAAGACTAAGTTACATCTTTTCAAGCAGAGGCTAGAGGGCCCTCTGACAGCAATGCTGATTCTGCACACTTAGCAGACCATGAGAGGGAGGGCAGGAAGGGTTGCCTCAGTGCTTAGTTCTTGTGGTCCTTTCTTACACACCCAGGGGAATGCTGATCACCATTTTGGGGACAGGAAGCAATTGTGCTCCAGGCCAGTTTGGCTGAGGATCCTGGAAGTTTTTTCTCAGCTTCTAGGCATGGAACAGGGGTCACTGGGGGGATGTGTGGGAGATATCTGTGAATTTTCTGCATTGTGCAGGGGGATGACGACGACCCTGGAGGTCTCTTCCAACTCTATGATCCTCTGTGTTTATAGTTCATAAGATGCTTGGGAGAGAAGATTTCTATTGCCCACAGGTACCTTGTTTGGAATTTTGGAACAAAATAGCCTGAGCTATGCCCCCGTACATCCTAGAAAGCAAAGTATATACATTGCAGTTGAGTGTATGGCACAGAGACACAAATGGAATTACTGCAAGTTCCCCTTGGGTTAGGTCTTGTGCTTAGAAATTGGTTGTACGATATCTTGCACGAACATGGGGACACAATAAGGCTGACTGAGCTGCCTGCACTAGCATGCTCTTTCTTGTGTTTACGCTTGTGTGAGTGACAATTTTGTGCTGGATCCAACCCAGTATCTTTAAACTTATATTTAAATAAACACAGTGCATAGTAATTGAAGCGTGACTTTTTGTTACCTGTATTAGCACACAGCTTCTCAAAGGCAAAAACTGAAAATAATTGAACCTAATGAATATAACTCTTCCAGGCAGCTGAAACATTGGTACATATTCTTGGCACCAGGGTCCTGTTAATTCATCCAGTGTGTCATTACTAATGAGAATAACATTAAATTTGGCACCAGCATTTTCATAGATGTTTTGCCAAATTAACCTATCACTGCAAAAAACAAAGTTATGTAAGGTGGTATGATGAAAGAACTCTAGTCCCAAGAGGAAATGTCTGGGTATAATCACCACCACTTTGATCTACCAGTATTTGAATATACTTATCACATTCTAGAGGTTTGGGTGGTCTATATAGCTTAGATTTTTTTTGCAGAAAAATCCAAATGCCTCTGTTAAGATTTCAATTTGCGATAAGAAACTCAGCTCGAAGTTTTACTACAGAAGCACTACAATAGACTTCACCAACATAACAGAACACATGAAGGCCTAAGAAAATTCATAAGGTACTCCCCTCATTCATGATCCAGAACCCATTGAACATAGTGCTCACAACCTTCAATGTAGGGTGTTTATTCTTCCAGTGAGTGCATTGTATTAACTATCCAGTTACTCTAGTCATTAAAATGTACGTGCTTCAACTCTATATAAAACTGCATTGTAAATTGCTAGCTGTTCCTTTCCTTTAACGTAGGCAAGTGCTGTCAACATTTCTGTTCACAGTTCTGTTCTGAACTTATCTTCACATCTTTCATTATTCTTTCAGTTTCTTTTTAAATTTCAAATCGTTGTTTAAGGAAAAAAACCACAGAAAAGTCTAGACTACTGCACCACTAAGGAATTGGGAAGATGTTTCTATTTTTTTGTGGAAAAAGAAATAGGGTGGAGGTTTTAACTCCTTCCATAAGTGAGAGGGAAAAAAATATCCAGGTGAATTGTAGGTTGCCACAGCAACCCAAAATGGCACTCAGTGACATGTGGTCCTCACCAGGAGCTGATGAGGTCACAAGTAGAGAGTAGTCGGGGAAAGAGGGAAGGGACAGGGCAGGGAAGCAACAGCTCTAGGACAAACAGAATTATGGGAAAACATTAGGAAATTGAAATTGAGCAAACGCCAGAAGACGCCAGAAGACAGGAGGGCCTGGCATGATGTGGTCCATGGGGTCGAGAAGAGTCGGACTCGACTGTGCAACTGAACAACAAAAATTACGAAGGTAGAGAGAAGCTGAGGGGAGGTGGGAAGAAAACACATAAACAGAAGGGAGAAGAAAACAAGGTCAATAGGATTTCCCCCATTCTTTTAAGTTTTCATGGGCATCCCCTTGTGTCTAATTTACATCTTTTTCTTCAGTTAGGCATGTTGTATGATAACATCTTTATTCTTTCTATAATTTGGTCTTATTTTGTTCTTTCCTATGGAGTATGCTTTGCCTATCACTTTTTATGAATTTGCACACTTTATTGGTACTTATTATAAATTCCTGACTTTAGAAGACGAGTGAACTGAACACATTAAAATACTTTATACAGATAGGATCCTAGAGGCAAGATGTCAGGGTACAAACAAAATCATGAAACAAATGAAAAAAGTCAGGAATTCATGGAGCCTCAAACCATTTGTTGATTGTTATTAAAAAAAATGAAGCTACCTTTAGGCAGAACTGATTCATTGTAGTGCATTCACGGGTATTCTTTACAGCGTCCCATTACTAAAAAAACTCACTCACAAACACATAGTTGCAAATCCCTGAAATATGGTTTTATTATAAGAATACTGATAAAACCTCAGAGATACAAGTCACGCACAGCAATTTTAAAAACCTTCACATTAAAGATGTTGCCACTGGTTGACACAACATCTTGATGATTACCATGTTAGTACCAGCTCCTTTTGGCTAAATTACTTAAAACAGAATCTAAGACCTGAATTTAGAGATTGGTTTTATTTACATTATAAAAAGACAGGTTCTCTCAATTGCTTAAGATTTCAGGAGAAATGTTTTTCAGAAAACCTCAGGAAAGGAATAGGGTGCTAAATTAGAGTGACTAGGGTGGTTTCCACATGGGGAAAAGGCTTGAGTCAGGCAGTTTCCCTACCCCCAGCCCCAAGCCACCAGGGGTTTTGTTTTTAAAGTTGTTCCTAAAATATTGGTATACTGCTGCACCAATATGTGCATCAGGTTCTCTGAATACTGTTTTCATTTGTTTTAAGTTTCTAGCCCCTCCCATTGCAGAGATATAAAGGAAAAGGGACATGTCCAGGCTCCACAACAGAAGGGACTAGAAACTTAAAAATGAAAGCAGGGAATTCAGAGAACCCAGTACACCATACTGGCATGATGTTATAACAATGCAATGATATTCATGGGCCAATTTTTCCCCACATCCACCCACCCGGAGCAGTCATCCAATCTTTCCCAAAACTTCAGAGCAAACCAGGTTTGAGAAAGACTGGAGAAAAGCTGGGGAAACCCTGGAGGCAAACGAATGCTCCACGATGCGATGTGGAAGCAGTAGGAGGGATGCTTTCCAACAGGACTGAACACAGAGCAGGTAACATGTGGAAGCATCCTAGCAGTTCAGATCTGTGCATATTTCCTTAGAAGTGATTCCCACTGAGGTGGCATGAGAGGCTCACACCAATGTTATTGTGCGTACTACAGCAGCGTTGGGGCAAGCGGCTGCGGAGGGCATCGTGGCAAAGTAGTGGGGGAGAATGACTGCTTCATCTACAAGGACTATTTCCGGATACAATTTCATGCTCCTTCCCTCCAATCCAGATCAATGCTTGAGAAAGTATCTCACCTGGGAAAATGGCAGTGTTAGAAAGTGATTTAATACCGTCTCTGGCAGACATGCCAAGGTATGTGGTTTTTTTGGGGGGGTCGGGGTCACCTTACTCCCACAGTGCTTCCATCCTTAGGTAGACTCCATCCTAAGGGCAGCCTATTCTGGAAAGCCCCATGTAAGAAGTATTCCATTAAAGATTACCATTTCAAGGTCTTCATGAAATGATGTCGTGACTCAGCTAGGGACTGCAGAGTTTCCACGCTTCCAATTCACAGATTTCCAGATGGGTTTTCCCCTGCCTGCATCCAAAGTGTCTGACCACTACAAACCTATTACACTCTGGAGGTCGGGATGTAGCAGATGTGTAACTGTTAGACCAGGGGTCCCCAAACGTTTGGGGCCAGCAGGCATCTTTGTTATTTTGAGGGGGTGGTGACGAGTGCCACCTTAAAATGGCTACTGCTGGAGGCAGAGCCAAAGGAAATAGCTCCCTCCTCACGCTTCCTGTGAAGAAGGAAAGCCTGGAGGACAAATGGAGTCATACACGGACTAGTGAAAGCCCAGATGCCTGCCACGTCTCCTGAGCCTCCAAAGGCTGCCTATTATCACAGCCATGAAGAAATCCTTTCATTTGAACGAAGGCAGCCAATAATAAGCCCTGCCTTACAACAGCCATGCCCATTTTCTGAAAAGCTTGGTGGGCACCAGGGGAAGTACTGGCAGGCACCATGGCATACATTGGCACCATGTTGGGGAACCTTGGGTTAGACGCTCTGGATGTTGGCAGTAGAAAATCTATGTCCAAATCAGTGGAATGGATGTGTGGGAACAGCCACCTTATACTAGCCAAGAGTATTGCTCCAATTAGCAGGCTTGCAGCCCAACTCTACGCATCAGAAGTGCTATCAACAGGACTTATTCAGCCTTGGGAAGGTTTTCCAAGAAAGTGGCATGACATGACAGATAACAAATACTAACAAGTTGCTATTATGTCCATCCACAAGAAAAACTGGTAGATCAACCAAATATGTTTGCATGAGGCTAAGTTTCCCCAAGTTTTAAAAACTGCAATTGGGCAAACACAAGGCAGTATGAGATGTTACGTTATGGCAGGAAAGTCTACATATGCTTCCTTTCCCTCCTCCACCCCCTCATCCCTGCACTGTCATTTTCCCTTGCAGAAATAAAAAATCCAGAGTGTACTAGAAAGAGATACTGGAGTAAAACTCCAAAAACGATGACCAAAACATAATCCCCCCTCCAAACAATAGGTTATCTTGTCTTAGTAAAGGTAAAGGTTCCCTTGCTCAAAAGCCAGTCGAATCCGACTCTAGGGTTGCGGTGCTCATCTCCGTTTCAAAGCCAAAGAGCCAGCGCTGTCCAAAGACATTTCCGTGGTCATGTGGCCGGCATGACTAAACACCAAGGCGCACGAACGCTGTTACCTTCCCACTGAAGTGGTACCTATTTATCTACTTGCAATTTCTTGCTTTCGAACTGCTAGGTTGGCAGGACCTGCACCTAATTAGAGCACACCTCCTCATTTATTATCCTGAGCCAAATACTACCACTTCTTACCTAGCCTGGTAAGCTTTGGGGATATCACCACATATTACAAGGTTGATCCAGGTTCGCTAAGGAGATGGTACAGCTGATTGGAAACAGTGAACTGAGTTGAAGGTGGCTGACCGGATGCCAGCTTATTTCTCGAATCTCTGCCCACCAGTTAACTGGTTATCGTTGTTCACACATTTAATTGATTTACATACTGCAAACCATATTGGGCACAACTGTGTTCGGCCCAAGCAGGGAGGCAATTTTAATTTTTATCCAAGTAACATTTGAGTGTATGGCACTTGATGGTGCTCAAGTATTCAAATACAGAGCCAGTTCAACACTTCAGATTTCTACACTTGCTCATTTAAGTCAACACACACACACAGAGAGAATTCCTCTCTCATGCTCTTGACAGGCAGCCATCTACCACATGAAGGAAGTGCAGCCACTTTTTACCTCCATGTTGAAATGCAACCAGTTTATCAAGTAACACTAACAGAGTTACCCAAATCGGGAGATCTGGGAGTAAAGATAGTCATGCTCTGAATGTTCAGTCCAGTGTACATTAAAGGGGCCTATATTTGGGTTGGGTTTTTTTAGCATTACAAACCATTTACAATTTTTAAAAAACAACACAATTTAATTACTGTTTGAAGAACTTCCAGTTGCTTTATCATAGACACCGTCTTAGTTAAAGTTAAGCTGAACTGAAGGTAGGCCATCTTTGTGGTGTGCTACAAAGGTTCCAATCAAAACCCCATAACGAATGGAACTAAGGCCACGCCTTCCTTGTGAAGTGGCGGCCTATGGCACAAATGAAGCTGAGCGTCAGTAAAACACCACCCAAGGCCTAACGTTAACAATCATTCTCCCTAAAGACAGTCATTCCATTTGCAAAACTACCATACCTGACCCATATCCTACTACATTTTTCAAAACACAGCTCCGGGACTCAAAATACCCCCGATGGGGCCGTTCCAATGCAGCATACAATGTTTTGGTTTTGAGAGTACAGAAACTACGCTCTTAACTCAAGGGATGTTCCTTCATTTTTAAGACTGTTGAAAATCTGAATGTTTATTGTTCTGAAATGATTGAAACTTAAGACAAAAAAAAAATCCCCATCTTTCAGTCTCAGAAGAGGTGTGGTTCAAATGCCTGTTTCACATGTAACAAGGCTTCCTTTAAAAATAAAAGGAAAAAAAATGACTATAAAGTTCAAAAGGATGTGAACGCATGGTTTCTTGACTCAGTTTTTTGAAGAGGTGGGCATCGCGAGAGCCAGCATTCTCCCCCCCCCCCCGAGCTGTTTTCGCTATGATGCTTGGCGAACCTTTTGCCACTCCACAAATTCGTCGAGAAGAACAGGCCCTGAAAAATGGAGCAATACCGGTTACATATTGTGGTGTTATGGGTTAATTAGAGCTTTTCAGATGTCTATCGTTAGCTACAATTGGAAGAGTTAACAAAGGGTTTGGAATGCAGCATGGGGCCATTGACCTCCCCCCCCCGCCCAATTTCCTTCCCTCCTACACTCCATTTTGACCCCCAGATTAAATGATTCCTAGGGATCAGGGGCAATGTGGGCAAACAGCTAGGGAAAGGGGTAAGAGGAGACTTCTGCCGGGAGGGAATCTGCATCCACAAGCACCTTCTGTTGACAGATTAGTGGATCAAGGCCAGAGTAATTACTAACTAATTGGTCCATGCATTCCATTCCAACCCAGGCTTTTAGAAGTCATGCCGAGGACAAAATAGGCACAAGTTCTTGAGGTAAAAATTTACAAAAGTCACTGCAACTTTTTGAGACACAGAAGTCACAACGGTCAGCTACATCAGTCGATTCAACCTAGTCTGCATTCCCTTTCAGTGGACCTGGAAGCTGCAAGCACCGCTTACAGAACAGACATGTCTTACTACAGTTTAAGTATACTTTCAAGGGGAACCTGTTGCACTGTGCTGCACAACTTAAAAAAAAAACCCCAAACCCTGACCTATAAAGGTCTCTCTGATTCATTCCTTGTGTCATCAGAGGACAGAAGAAAAGGCCATAGACAGTTATTTGAAATGAAATTTATGCTCTCAAGGAAGAGTCTTCTGAATCAACAGGAACAACTTTTGTAGGTTGCAACAAGAAGCTCTTGGTAAACTGACTTCCTAGATGGCAGCTGGACACTTCAAGCTCACTGTACTAGCTGGTCATGACCAAAAATGGAATATTCCAATCTGGAATTGAATGACACACACAAAAAATTGTTTGTGGGGCCACAAATGTATCTGGCCTTGTGTCAGAAGCAATTACATATATTGAAGATAGTGATATTGCCCATATTCTTAGAAACAAAACACGGTATTTTGATTAAAACGGGAATACTTACATGCCCCATCTTCATCATAGTTGCTAAGATCTGCGTGGACAGTTCGGCTGAATTCTAGCACATTGTACCACTGATCTTTGTTAATAACTCTGTATTTTGACTGCTGTGGTGGGGGGGGAGAAAACCCCAAGAAATCTGTCAGCCACAAAAGTGTCATACACAGGAACATAAATACAAACAGCTTTTCCTAAAGAGATCACCGTTACCCAGAAAGTGTTTCTGAGGACTTAGCAGACTATGTAAATGGGATTTAATCTGGCCGGAATGTCGGAACAGAAGATTACTTTTAGTACGGCAGGAAGGAACAAAACTCAGCGGGGCACAAAGGTGGAATTTTTTATTTAGTTCATTTATATCCCCCTTTTCTCCCCAACAGGGATCCAAAGTGGCTTATAACTCTCCTCTGTTCTGAGCAAGTGGAAAAAAGGTAAATGGTAGTGAGTGATAACATGGAATGTTACCCCCCCCCCATTTCTATAGAACAAAAGCCTAGTACAAATGGCAGCCCCCATACAGTCACTGAGTGTGCAGGGA